GAAATGACTAAAGTAATAAATTTTTGAAAAATCGATTTTAAGTCCTTCAATTTAAAGTCTATTTTTACTATTTTTGTTGATATTAAACTAATTTTGGTGTTACATGTCAGTCACCTCTCGCTAAATTTGTTCCAGAATCGCAAGTGTTCGAAATTCGACGTTAAGTGTATCAGATTTAGAGTTAATTTTGAATAGTAGTTTCTATTTTAATGTTACATGTCATCGCTCGATAAATTTGTTTCTGAATCGCAAGCGTTCGAAATTCGACGTTAATTGTATCCGATTAAGAGTTAATTTTGAATAGTAGTTTCTGTTAATAACTTGAACTTTTTCAAGATGGCGTCATACAAGAGCGTTGTGCCTTCATGCCAAAATCTGTTAGGTTGCGACTTTTCGTTGTTTAAAAATACTCCGTTATCCACGTCTTATGGCACTCTAGTGCCAGTTGTTTGTCGAGTTGTATGTTTGTAAGTGTTTGTATGTTGTACATTCTTGTATTCGTTTTTTTTTCGCTTCGGAACGTAGGCGTGAGCGTCGAAGGTTCGAGAAACGGGACCGAAGCTGAATGGTTCAAATGGGTAATAAATAATGTAACAAGCTGTCGATGAAGCTAACAATTTTAAATTATTATGTATAAGAAGTAATATGGGAATGATACGCCAGTACCGGGATATCGTAGGTGCGGTTCAAGAAAACAATTTTTTTTCCCAAAATATTTTACTCAAAAATAAATAATGTAAACCTAAAATATGACTAGGGTTCTGTTTAAAAACCCAATGAAATTTCCTTGACGTGAATACTTGAGTCTAATTATATTTTTCCTGAACCGCACTTGTGTCATGTCAGAATTGGCGCCAAAATCACATTACCCGCCATCACATTTTTAATCTGTCATCGCATTTTTTTCTTTTTTTTAATGCTTTAACTGTCATTTAGAAACTAATTATTTTATAGTGCAATCGGCTTTTTAATTAATATAATTGGGTCGATTGTCTTTTAATAACGTTATTTAATTTTACGTGCCTTTTTGTATACAGATTTCAATTTAATAGTATTAATCAGCTGGGTGTATCGCGTTGTAATAATAAAAAATAAATTAAAAAAACCATAGACACTAATTTTATTGGATGTACAAAAGTATTGTATAAGCTTTTTTTTTGTTAAGTAATCGGAGTCGTGTATTTAATACAAATTTATTGGTATATTATAAATCACCCAGGTTGTTTTTTTTTTAAGGAATCTCATTTTAATTACTTCATTGCAAACTGTATTCTTTATTAAATGTGTGTATTTAAATATTGTAAATATATTTTAATAAATAAAATTTATAGTCTGTGTAAAGCCAAATAAAAAAAATACTTGTATGTAAGTACGAAAAATTCGGACTACATTTTGTTTATTAAAATCTATACCTATACTAGATCATAGACAAATAAGTTTTTTTTTTAATATTTCATTGAAGTCTGTATATGAAATGTGTTGTTTGTAAATATAATGTTATATTGCGTGATAATGTGTTCAATAATTAAAAAAAAATGACGTGAAATAGTGATTTTCTACCTTATAATGTACTTCAATAGGTCGTTATTTCTAATTAGGTCAAAAGCAAATATTTCCCCTCCAATCGATCCCTCGTCTAATTCAAACGGGGATCTAAATTACAACGGCCTGAGCAGAGGATCGAACCCCTAGCGGTCCCTCAGACTATTCGTCGTATCCGTCAGGCGGGAGTTGGCCTTCAGCCGCTCTATAAGTCCTTCCTTTGGTTTGGAGTGCCATCTGCACTCGCCCCCTATCGTCCGGTGAAGCTGTAAAGGCCAACAGCATTAGAATAGTCGGAAAAAAGCAAAAAATATTGTGTTTATATATATATATTTCCCAATTCTTATATTACAATCATATTACTACCTATATATATTCACGCTAGCTCTCTTAGGTAATAGGCATAGAATGTTAACTATACAACTATTTGGTTTTTAGAAATATTCATATAAATTTTAAAAAGGAAAAAAAGGAAATGAGTTTATTTGGTACATATCACTATAACAAAAATTATTTTTAATTTTTAAATTATAATTGGTTTATATCAATTAGATAGTACCAAATAGGTCTCCGCTCAGCATATGTCGTGACGGGTGCTACGACGCTGGTATTCTGCGAATGGATACCTTCATATATAATAAATATAATAATAATAATGCAAATATAAAACATAACGCGCTGACACATTAATATGTAAATATATGTACTATACAACATTATATATTTAGAAATAGAAATAATCTTTATTCAAATAAACTCATTACAAGCACTTTTGAATAGTCATATTTTGATTCTACCACTCATTCGGAATGCAGATTCATCACAAGAAGAATGAGCAAGAAACTTGTGTGTTGCTCTTTTTAATAGATGTTTTTTTTATATATAAATAATTACAGATAATAAAAAACAAAAATTCTTGAAACTTCTATTTTATTCCAGATTCTCTTTATTTCGGCACATACAAACTCAACTAAAAAAATACACCGACCGAAAACAAGCGACAGGGACTTCCTTGTTCCGTTCGACACGCCATGCATGGTTGATTGATCTTAGGGTTGTCAACCTTATGATAGATTTTTTATATATTTATTTTATTCTAAATATCGCCTATTATTTTCAGCGCGGACTGGGGCCCTGGGTTGCAGCCCCAAAAGCCCTTAGGTAGAACCGCCCCTGAACATAATAGCAACTTAGCAGTAAAACACGTAATGTCTGTTTTATATGTTATTTTAAAATAATGTCTATCTTTTATATTTAATATTTATTAGGAAACTTATAAACTTACGCAATGACAGATACTTAACAAGAGAGAGAGCAATATTTTTAGATTACATTGACATTAACTTGGACATACTTGTCAACTAGCATAGTGAATAAATAAAATGGAATGAAATTGGCTGCATGAGCCGAGTCCTTTTGCCTTTCCCGAAAAAAGGAAAAACCGAACAAAAAAAAATGGAATGTAATCACGTAATATAACATTATATATATAAAAATAAACGATATGTATAAAATGCTGCATTTATATAATATAATTATGAAGCTTGTGGAGTGAGTATTGCAGTGTCAAACATTACCCGTAACTATTGTATTTAATTAATTAATATTATTATTACAATTATTAATGTATGATAGTTATGAATAAAACTGATTTTTAAGCCTTTATACTTTTGGTTTTATTGTCGTGTCAGATTTGAACCGACTAGTCCTCAGTCAGAGTGGAATCAAACATTTCGTCTAGGAAGGAAACTTCTAAATACTTAAGTTGTAAGTCAGCTGCGGTTTTTTATGGATGATTACGGAATGGTGCATCCGCCTGCGCTAACGGTATACGCTGGCGGGGCACCAGTGGAGGATGATAAGATGAGCACGAGGTCAGGTCAGTTAGCCCATCGTGACAAATTCACTAAGAATTTGTCAATACATAATAATAATCTCAGGACAATTCACACAGCGCCATCTAGTCCCAAGTTAAGCTAGCTAAAGCTTGTTATGGATACTAGATAACTGATACAAATACATAGTTTTTTTTTTCGTAAATACATACATATTATATATAGAAACTACCCAGACCGATACAAACAATCATACTCATGAATACAAATGTTTGTGCCGTGCGAGGAATCGAACCCGCGACCATCGGACGTAAAGCGGTGTGCTAGACCGCTGGACCACCGAGGTCGTCAAATATATATATATATATTGTTTCTACTTTATTATCTAGTGTACGACATAAGCACATGTATTAACATATAAATCAAACAAAACAAAATATCTGTTCATTGAGTCACAGCGCTGCATTATTTAATTAGTCTGCAATTTTCAATTATTCATCATCAAGTCATCAACACAATATTCTTACTACATTTATTGCTTCGTATAGTTTAATTAATTAATACCTATTTATCTTTATAATATACAAGCTATTGCCCGCGGTTTCGCTCGCGTTCATTTATCCCCTTAGGGGTGGAATTTATCAAAATCCTTTCTTAGGGGATGCCTACGTCGTAGTAGCTTTATGCATGCAAAGTCTTAGCCCGATCGGTTTAAAATTGACAAAGTTTCATACAAACTTTCATCCCCTATTTTATCCTCTTGGGGGTAGTAAAAAAGATAGCAGTAAATGATAGTAAAGAAGAGAAAGAGGAAAATTATATAGGTACGTAATTCAATTGCAAAGCAAAGAAGCATTTTTTTTAATGGATGATAATGTAATGTTGCACCCGCCCGCTAACGGCATACCACCAGAGGAGGATAATAAATTTAACATGAGGTCAGGTCAGTTAGCACATCATGGTAAATTCACCAGGAATTTGATCATGAATCATGATGATTTCCAGGGCGTACCGCGTGGAGGTCAGCCTGACTTGGTACATTGTTAGCAATGGAGTCTTCAAGCCACATTACTAACAATCCATTTTCCTCCCTGCAAAGAGTATTAAAAACCTTAATAATTCGACTTCTATTTTAGAATTCTATTTCTATAAGAGTATGACGAATTTAATGGACGTAATCCTGTTCCATATATATCATTACCTCTATTTACCTTCTATTTATTTCTTAACTACTCATTAAAGTAGTTAAGAAATAAATAGAAGGACAAATATTTTCTTGACTTGCCTTGACCACACCAAACGGAACACTAAAAAAAGAAAAAAACATTTCGTTAACTACTTATACCACAAATAATTCATAATACACACGTACATTGCCATTATTCTTAATTATCCAGACATAAGCATTGTATTTAACAAATTTATAATTTGCGCGGCAAAATTTCTAACCTAAATCTTATGGTAGTTATAATAGGTATGAAAATTGTGTTTTCACGTCGCAAAGGCTGTTTGTAAATCGCGCCAGTAAAATAGTTTGTACAGTTGATTAAATAAAATAAATTATCTTTTCATTAAGTTCTGGAACGTTCTAGATTCTACGAATTATTATCGGAGTCGCAGTAGTTGTCTCAGTGGAAATAGTCTGAGTGGTTGTGTCCAGGTATACGCCATCATGTTGAAGTTTATCCTTGCTCTCACATTGGCACTATGTTCAGCTGGTAAGCAACATTGACGCAACATACGCTAAAGCTTTTGATAAAGTTTACATTGCTTTATCAACACAAAACTTATGACGAAATTTGCTCCAAATCGCATAATGTGCATGTAATTTGTTATCTGTAATATTGAATTAAAGCTATAAACATCAATCGATAGATTGTTTCTATTTACAAGGGGTTACCTAAGGCTCGCACCTTGGCCCTTTGTTTATTATATAAGTTACACTGGATATTTTGACTATATTTCTTGTAGTTATATTTTATAGTCATTCTAATTCCTTTCTATAGATATTAACTTAGTCAGATAATACAACAAATGATACGTTGATTTTAAATGTCTGCAATATCCTGTATGCAGACAATTTCTTCCTAGATAATAAGATACTCCAATAGAATTCTACTGCCCACAATTTTGGACTAGGTGCATAAAGTTTTTTTTTTATACTACGACGTTGGCAAACAAACATATGGGCCAATTGATGCTAAACGGTTACCGTACCCTATAGACCACGGGGTGTCAGGGTGGAGGCTGATATAAACTAACTAACCTGACCTCGAGCTTATTCTAAGCATGAAGTTTCATCATTATAAATTCCAGGACTTAACTACGATGGTTTTCTGGGATATGGCCCTCATGGTACATTGCTAGCAATAGCTAATTCATTATTTTGTTTAGTAAAGGATAAATCCATTGCTGACCCAAACTAAAGTTACCCCCTCCAATTTTTTGTGTTTATATTCGTAATGTTAGTAATACGGCTAGTAACGGCAGGTAGTAGGGTAAAATAAATAACTAACTTTCTAATATTAAAACAATATATTTAGTATACGCATTAGACACAGCAATATAAAAATGTATGTATCAAAATTTGCTCAAGCTTTTACAATAAAATGAATCTGCATTATTGTAAACATGTACAACATTTATTGGAAAAGAAGTTGTAGCTGAGTTTCTTGTCAGTCCTTCTCGTCTCGAAATCATTCCGAATTGACGATAGATTTGACATATCATAAGAGTCTGTAATAGATCTACATGAATAAAGATATTTTGAATTAGAATTGGAAACAAATGGTTCAAAAAATAAAAGAGTTATAAAAAGAGACCTGTCGCCAACTGTTAGTGTTTAGGATATGTTTGATAAACCTACTGTAGAATATGCAGTGTTGAAACCACTTTTCAGGGCCAACCAGCAATATCGTAAGACCCTGCAGACTCACCGATCTGAAATGCATCCGAGACAATATATCAGCGAACTCCAAATGCAACACCAACGTCCGAGGTTCGATTCCGTCGCAGTACACCATTCCCAGATTCACCTTCGAAACGCCATTCTTCAACTCTTCGTACATTGATAATGATTTGATCATCAGAAATAGTGATGCGTGCAGGGTGTCTGAATTTTTGTAAGTACCATTTTTTTTATAGGGGCTGTTCAAGTATTATGTAAGCAGATTTATCACAATTATTTACCCCTCATCCCCCGTTGTCAGCAAAAGTAAGCAAAGCTCTTACCCCTCCCCCCATGCTTACGTAAACATTTCTCAATTAATGTATTGTTTTTTTAACAAAGACAATGTGAGGGTTGCCATTCGTGTAAAAAAGTAAATTACGACCGATGACGTAATCATCATACAGACTCCCCCACCCCCATGTCATCCAAAATAAGCAAAGAAAAGACCCCCCGCCCCCCTATAGTGCTTACGTAATACTTGAACGGCCCCATAGGTGATAATGGAATGGTACACCCGCCTGCGCTAACGGTATACGCTGGCGGGGCACCAGTGGAGGATGATAAGATGAGCATGAGGTCAGGTCAGTTAGCACAACGGGGTGAATTCATCAAGAATTAAATACGATGGTTTTCAGAGGGTTGTTGTCAGTAATGAAGCGAGACTATAAAGAACTGCTATTTAAAAGTTTATTATTACAGCCTTTATTCAGATCAACTTATACATTATTTTGAAACGAACATAAAACTTTAAAATTTAAAAACGTAAAAAAATTCTAGTATTTGGTGATTTTTAATTTCTGCAGATCTGTTTGCCATTCGGCTAGGGCCTCGTTATTTACAGGTACATCATTTTGATTAATTGCCCCTGGGCAATTTAACGTTTTTTTTTCTAGAATAGAATAGAAAATCATTTATGCAAATAAACTCAATTTAAGCACTTGAATAGTCATAACAATTTTTTTATCTACCGTTCGTGCGGAAAGCTGTCTCATCACATAAGGAACGACCAAGAAACTTGTGTGTAGCTCTTTTAAATAATCCTGGTAAGTTTACATTTACAAGTCGAAACGTGTGAATACAAACTACCAACCAGCACTAATTTATATGGGTCAAATATAAATATACAATAAGATTAAATCAGTCGTAGTGATAAGAGCAGACCAGTCCCTACAAGCAGCACCCGTTCACGAGTATGACGGATGAGCAAGCCATCACTGCTCTCGACCATATTTTAGGGAGCCCAATGACCCAGGCCGGAAAATCATTTATTTACATAAAATTTCAAATAATAAAACTAGTCTAAGTTACTTCCTATAATATTAAATATCTAAGAGTCCAATCAAAACCGGTTCAGTCGTTACAGAGATTAATAAGAATAATAATTTTTTTGATATAAGCTCCGTATTCCTTTCATATAATTCAATTACTTCAATTTTATTTATTCGGGTCCAGCCGTTTCAGAGATTACCATTTTTTTTTCAAGTTATTTTGTGTATGCAATATTTATTTTAATTTATATTTTACTAGCTACCCACTCGGGCTTCGCACGGGTATGCATGTATTATACATATAAACCTTCCTCTTGAATCACTCTATGTATTAAAAAAAACCGCTTCAAAATCCGTTGCGTAGTTTTAAAGATTTAAGCGTACATAGGTACGGACAGACAGCGACTGCGACTTTGTTTTATACTACGTAGTGATTGGTAACTTGTAAAAAGCTGTTAATTTGAAATTAATTTAAGAACCTAAACCTCATAGAAGTACTTACTTCTATTCTATTCTAGGGCAACAACTGTTTTGAACACTGATTGAAAAATCTAAAAACAATACAATAACATATAACAAAAGATACATACGTACATACACGCGTCATCGCCTGAACAAATAACAAATTGTTATGTTTACAATTAATAACAACTGACGCTGATTATGAATACATAAAACACAAAACAAACCAAGAAACAATGGTAGCTTAATGGAGTCTATATAAAGGTGGATTTAGACATAGTATATATCCTTACTATCTAAATATATATAACTCAAAGGTGACTGACTGACATAGTGATCTATCAACGCACAGCCCAAACACTGAGGCTGAAATTTGGCACGCAGGTAGATGTTATGACGTAGGCATCCGCTAAGAAAGGATTTTGATTAATTCTACCTCCAAGGGGATAAAATAGGGGATGAAAGTTTGTATGAAACTTTGTCAATTTTAAACCGATCAGGCTGAGACTTTGCATGCATAAAGCTACTGTGACGTAGGCATCCCCTAAGAAAGGATTTTGATTAATTCTACCCTCAAGGGGATAAAATAGGGGATGAAAGTTTATATGAAACTTTGTCAATTTTAAACCGATCGGGCTGAGACTTTGTATGCATAAAGCTACTATGACGTAGGCATCCCCTAAGACAGGATTATAAATTAGATAAGGATAACGGGCTAAAACGAGCGAAACCGCGGGCAAAAGCTAGTAACTTATTATAAAATTGAAGAATTTATAAATGATAATAATGTTTTTGTAGAAAATATCTAACTTAAAATTCATAGCGCTGACAATGTTATCTGATTGAACAGAGATTAAGTGCGTAGAGGTTTCTATGTTGATTGTCGCATGCCTAATCCTTGTTGTTAATTAAATATAAGTAAATCAATATTTTTTTAAAAGAGCAAGTCACAAGTTTCTTACTTATGCTTCTTGAGATGAATCTGCATTCCGAATAAGCGGTAGAATCAAAAACTTGACTATTCAAAAGTGCTTATATTAAGTTTATTTGAATAAAGATCATTTCTATTTCTATTTCTATGGTGACGCATTCACCAGGTTTTTTTTTATTTTTACATATATTTAGGAACTTTTATCATAATATGACAATGCCAGTCCCATAGTATCTTATTACTAATCTTATCTCCTACTGCACAATGAAAATAAAAATTTTGCTGGCTATGATACAGGATCAGATAGTATACCATAGTACATACCAACATCAAGCCGATTCAGTCCAAATTTTTTTAAAATCAACTCCCTTTTAACAGTTTTTCGGACACACGGAATTTATCAGGACAGTCTCCAGGTGGAGTCTATCATCAGTCCACATTACTAATCCTATTTTAATTTGATTACAGTTTTAACGTAAAAACAGATACATCTGTACTGGCAGTTGATTGTCCTAATCTGGACTTTGAGTCCGACCGCACCCTCATCCAGCATACCTCGCTGCAGGAGGACTCCAGGTACAGCTACCACATTCGAGGAATCTACCGTAAGTATCCATTTCTACTTACTTCTTTATATAGGTGCTAGGCAATCTCTTTGTCGGGGCTGCTTTGAAGCCGAAAAAACGGCCAACGTAATCATGGACTGAATATAATAATAATAATCTCAGGACAATTCACACAGCGCCATCTAGTCCCAAGTTAAGCTAGCTAAAGTTTGTGTAGCTTGTGTGGTTGTGGTGCTAGTGTGGTCTAGCGGTTTGGCATACCGCCTTACTTCGATGGTCGCGGGTTCGATTCCTCGCACGGTGCAATTTGTATTCATGAGTATGATTATTTGTAGTGTTTTTTATTTTTTTTATCGGACTACTCTAATGCTGTTGGCCGCAGCTGGCCTTTACAGCTTCACCGGACGATAGGGGGCGAGTGCAGAAAGCACTCCAAACCAAAAGGACTTATGGAACGACTGATACGACTTTAGTCTGAGGGCACCACTAGGGGTTCGAACCTCGGCTCAGGCCGTCGTAACATCGATCCTCGTTGGATTGGACGGGGGATCGATCGGAGGGGATGTTTTCTATGTATATTATGTATGTATTTATAAACATATATATATATACTTAGTACCCATAACACAAGCTTTAGTTAGCTTAACTTGGGTCTAGATGGTTTTATGTGAATTGTCCTGAGATTATGTTTTATAAGTCCACTCAACTTCACCTCCAACCTTCATCCACAGCATCATCTTCTTTGCCAACCTCGGTAGTCTAGCGGTTTATCACACCGCTTTACTTCCTATGGCCGTGGGTTCGATTCCTCGCACGGCACAAACATTTGTATTCATCAGTATGATTGTTTGTATCTGGGTGTTTTCTATGTATTTACAAAAAATATATCTAAGTATTTATATAAATTGTCTAGTACCCATAACACAAGCTCTGCTTTCCGTGGGACTAGATGGCGCTGTGGTAATTGGCCAGGGTTATTTATTTATTTATCTTCATCCGAAAGCATGAAATTAATATTGTTTATTGCCTCATTGCAACGAATTACGTTCTGACAGTCTGTGATTGGTTTTTTAAAAGTAAAGAAAGTTCATTTAATTTATTTATTTAATTCTAACTTACAATTTAGGAATCGCGATTGATTCGTCTTATACTAAATTAACCTATTCGCGTTCGCGACTAGAACTAGAGTGACCGTCCACCTGCCTTCCTTTGTTCTCGTACTTCTTGGATGCCGCTCATTTGAGTTAGCAACTATTGGAAAGTATTGGGAGATACTTTCCAAGAACAATCGCTGTATCCATGCCGATTGTGTAACTACAGGTAGGTAGTTATATAGACTTAGGGGAGTTTGTAGTCGTAACAAACGTTATAATGTGTTAATTTCAGCCTTGATCCGTTTAACAACGAATCTTCTTCACGCTGATCATCTCAACCTGTGCACAGCATCCACTTTTGCTGACGTCACTGCGCTGCCGATATTCAAAGTTGATCCTAAAGGTAAATTATAGATAGATAATTTTTTATTTACGTTTAACAACTAATCTATACGTCTATACATATAAATAAAATTGGAGTGTCTGTTTGTAATAACCGTTAATTGAAATAACCGTTTTTACTACATGCATACGAATATAAATACGGTACATACACCAAAATATTTTTTTTACCATTTTTGTCTGTCTGTTTGTTCCGGCTAATCTCAGAAATGGCTGGACCGATTTTGACGGAACTTTTATTGGCAGGTAGCTGATGTAATAAAGAGTAACTTACACTACTTTTATTTCAGAAAATTAAAGTTAAATTCCACGCGGACGTAGTCGCGGGTACAGCTAGTAATAATATATATGTGAAGATGTTTTATTAATAGTAAAAATGTAAAAGCTGTTTGGGTTGTAAGTATGGATGTATGTTCGTTACTCTTTCACGCAAAAACTACTGAACGGATTTTGATGAAACTTTTCAGTAATGTAGCTTATACATCAGAATAACATGGCTAGAAATTTCACGCGGGTTCACAGCTATTTAGTATACGTTATGTACATATGTTTTCAGACAAACCAACCGCAAACTTCCTAACTCGCGACCTATCGGCTCTCAACATCTACGAGAGAGAAACTTTCGCCTACCGCGCCCCACAACTGATTCGACAATTCGTCAACTCTCTAATTTGTGATTTTGGTTGTCAATAAATATCTTCCTTTATATTTTAACATTATTATAATTGTATTTTTATGTAATTACCCAACTAAGACCGGGATGAACCCATTTCTAATATAATTCACTTTAGTATCCAAAACACAACCGGCACGCTCTGCGCTCGTCGACTGAATGCCGCGGCTCACGCAACCAAAGAGCATTATTCAACTACCGACCTCCGTATTTATAGACCGAAGTCAGTATAGTAGGAAGAGAAGCGGGGATAATGGATATCTTATGACAAACAACTTAGTTCGGTCTATAAATACTAGATGGCGCTATTTACAATATTCGTAATAATCTTTACATTGGGTACTTCATTAGTACTGAAAATAAACTACCTTCTTTTAACATATTTTTAAAATATCTTATTGTTTCTACAATAATGATGTGAATTCTAACACTATTAACACATCACTATGACTTCATCTGCGATTTGATACAGCAGGAGTCTTAGTACGGCTAGTTGTGTTTCACTAGGTAGGTTTCACTATATATTTACAGTATTTATATATGAAATAGTTCATATTTATATATACATATATATACGCATTTATAAACTTATGTGTTATTAATCTTTTTTAAATCTGTCACTATTGTATTAGCAAGTGGATTATAAGAGCCTAGCTTCTTATTATATTGTATATTACTATATACAGTAAGACCCTGTTTAATACGGGGGATACGTTCCAATAACTTCCAGCGCCAAACAAAACAGCGTTAAAGTTATCTTTCTTTCTATTCTTCGGAATCACTTATATATGTCAATATTTTTGTTTTCTTCTCGCTCAGTCAATTCCTTAAGCTCATTATTAGAAACACTAGCTGTTTCTTGAACTATTCCTCGACTTCACTCCCTTCCGAATCCCCGGGTTGAAATAAAGGAGCGATCAATGAAACGGTGTTAAGCGGAGTCTTAGTGTAAGTGCGTTATATTGGTTATAACACTCGCGGAGATTCAGTTCGAGCAGAAGCCGAGTTCATAATAGAGCGGAGTGTGTTAAATACGCACGTATAACGTACCACGTGTTTCAACATGATTTTAAATAAACTCAACACATGTCGCTTTCAAGCTGTTATACTTTTTTTTAATCAGAGCGCTGAATACTGGCTGAAATCGCGAGGCGGTCATTTCGAAATATGGAAAAAAATGTAAAAAGTGTGGTTATGAAATATAACTTCACTATTTGCGTTTATGACGAAAACGTGTTTTATGAACTGCTTTATATATCGGAAACTGGTGAAACTAAATCCACTTTAGGAGCAAGTGTGTCGAAAATATATTACAATATTGGCTCTTATTATATATGCCTTAAGGTAGTGATTCTCAACCACTATGCCGCGACTCTTTCGTGTACCACAAAATTTTAGATATATAATTATTAACTTGTAATTAATACCTTAATAAACATTTTTTATTGTAGTATATATAATTTTATTTCGCTCATTTAAAATTCTTTATCCGTCATACTAGTGAACGGTTCTGATTGTGGGGACTGGTTTGTTTTGGTTACAAACACTGATTAGATTATTTCCTTTTGACAAAATTGCAATAGCATATGCTGGTGGTCACTCTATTCTCCAGAATTTCAATTTAAAAATGAATCTTTATTATTGTAAACATGTACAACATTTATTTGAAAAGAATACGAGCTGAGTTTCTTGTTAGTTCTTCTCATCTCGAAATCATTCCGAACTGACGGTAGATTTGACATATCATAAGTCTGTAATAGACCTACATGAATAGAGATATTTTGATTTGATTTGATATCATAAGCATATTATTCTACGCAGATAGAGGTAGTTAAGTAAATTTTCAAACATTTTCAATTTTGATAAAAAAAATTAAAATCTGCCACAACAAAAAAACATGTACATGTATCTGTTAGGGAACAAAGTGGAAGCGTGTGAGGTTACAATGTCAGTCGTACCTTTCGACGCTCCGAGGGTTTCAGTTCTCCAGCACGTATCAGGGTCCAGGGTATATGTTAGCACTATGTCACTGGTTAAAACCCTTTACTGTCTTATTACAAAAAGATAAATCTGGTTTAGCACTAGTAATAAACCATTGACCAAAGTATTCCTTATTACAAAACAAAGTTTATCTCTAAACCGTGATTCGTCTTTGATTGAAGTTAGACCTGCGATGCCCCTAGTTTACCAGTGGTATAAATGCAAAAAGTCAAATTCCCTTTTTAAATATTGCATTGTAAGTAGTTGTTTTTTGAAAAAAGGCCTAACAAAATTAAAAATATATTAACTAAAAATATTTAAGGCTAATTTGTACAATTGGCTTTAAATATTTTTAGTTAATAATAATAAAAATATATAAAAGACGTCATTTGTTATTTTATTCACTCTTTTGACTTTGAAATAGTCACCATTTGAATCGATCCAATAAAAATATCTCGCCGTTCCTTTTCTCCGTAACTCCGTCCTTAGTTGTAATTTAAAACTGATTTTTAGCCTAATAGTACATTAATAAATATTATAGATTAATGAAATAGTCATAATGAAGACGTAGATAAATACAAATATTTTTTGTTTTTACTTTATACATTGATCTCTGAAGTATTTTATTTTTGATCATTTCAGTTTTCTGGTAAAATGGAACACAATTGTACGCTGACAGACATGAGTGACTGATTTCTGTATATTATCTGTGGGGAATATATAATGAACGATTAGTAGTATTACTGTAGTACTAAGTAGTCCTCTATTAGATGAGTAATGTTAGGTTTATTCCAAGTATTAACATTAGCAATGGTTTAAACCTCGACCATTTCATCCGAGTTTTAATAGATTTTTTGTAATAAGACCGTTAGTATCACCACTCTTTTTTAATTTTTAATCTGTAGGGTAGAAAAGGTGTCTTTGCAACAGTCAATGTTATGGTAGGGAAAAGGAGGGAAAAAGAGGGTATGCAAAAATGCCTGTAGGTAGGCATTTTTTGCACACACACATACGCATACACATTTGAGGATCGTTCTTACCTGTGTTGGGGACACACATACAAGAACTTTCAAATCTACTAATAAGACGTATGTCTGGCCGTCGTGGGCTCATATTCTATAATATTATTAACATCTGGGAACCGAATAAAAACTGGAAATTTGTAGAAATAAAACAAATTCAATAATATCTTTAACATTCCTCTTTATTCATTAAAAAATCATCACAATCGGGAACACTATAATTAAGGACATTTGAAGGCGAAGCTAACGTTATTAAATCATCTATTTTGCATTCTGTAACATATTTATAGTTAAATATGATTAGGAAAAACCATGGCATCTATTTTTTTTTATTGTGTTGTGTGGGCTATTGTCAGATGTTTGTAGCACCTGTAGCACTGCGACCTGCATAGATCTATTGTGCTCGCCCTTTTCAGAGTTCGCTACCCGCTAGACCCGTCAGGGACAAGAATTGAAGGATATTCTTAAGAGCGATGGTTTTTATCTCCTCGGGAAAGAGTGTAAACTTTCCAAAGGAGATGTTTCGTTTATGACATCTAACCTCGCTGTTGCTGGCACTTGTCCACCATTCTTTTTCTTCATACCATAAACTTTGTGTTTTTGATATCTGTGATTGTTATGTCACTTTCGACTTGTATATTTTTTAATTTTATTAATAATGGGTTTGCGCTTGGTCTTACCTCATCTGATGGTAAATGATGGCAAGACCTGGGATGTAGCGCGCTTACTCTTCACTGTGAGCACTTTTGGGAAATATTCAATAATAATAATTATATTTCATATATTTATTGAATAATATATATTTTTTCATAAATTTAATAAAATAGTTGTTATGTTCTCGCTCCAGTCAGCTTTATTGATTATTTAATTTCCCGATATTTCGGCAGTATTTCAACCGCCATGATCACGGGTGAACTGAAGAGCAGCGGGTAGATGGTAAAACAAGATGGTAAGATCCCGTGATTTTTCCTATTTACACGTATGAATAATGACCGCGTCAAATTTATAACAGTATATATTTATAGATCTTATTTATAAAAACAAACATACAAACCCAATAGCTACTCTAATTTTGTCACTTTCTACCAAATTAGGGAAATAGTTGAAAAAAAAAGGACAAAAAATTTCAACATCTAAAACAGGTTTTACGGTCAATTAAATATGAACTGTAAAACCTATTTTGTTCTGTTCTATTTATTTAGTTGTTGGCCTATTTTGTCCTGTTTTAGTTGTTGACCGATTTTGTCCTGTTTATTTCTTACCTTAAAAATAAATCTATGATTGGTTTGTAGAAACATTTAGTTTAGTTTTTATAAATAAGATTATTTTTTTAATTACTAGAGCAATTGGAAAAATATTTTCTTTTATATTAATATTTTATGGATGGTATTATGTTACATTATTCTATAGTGGCAACATTGTCACAGATAAAATAATGTTTCTAAGATATATAATATGATATACTGATTTACGTTGGACTAGTACTAATATTTGATAGGACGGTAGGAAAAAAATCCAAAAAAATTTAGATTTATAAGCGGCTAAAATGCATTCATTCATTTATTCATGTAGGACATTTAATACATGAATGAATTATTTATGTTTTGATTTAATTAAATATTTTTCTTTAAGTAAAAACATTAAATCTATTTTCTACCAGTATTACAAATGGGCTTTGGGGTAATAAAGTCCTCGAGTAGCGACCACGGACCGGAAGACGCAGCGTGGTAAGGCCTCCAGCAATGGACCGGCGATCTGGTCAAGATCGTTGGAAGGCATTGGATGCGAGCAGCGCAGGACCGATCGTGGTGGAGATCTTTGGGGGAGGCCTATGTCCAGCAATGGACGTCTTCCGGGCTGCGATGATGATGATGTTTGTTTTAGAGAACGAGAACCTAACCCGCAATTATAGGAAGTAAGGCGGCGTGCGGAATCACTAGACCATTGAGGTTGTTTGGTTACATAAGTTACCAGGCTTTCAGCAAAATATACAGAGTCTACACTAAATTATAAAATGAAAAAAAAACTTCAATAGTTTAATAAAAAAAAATGTTTTTAACACAATTCAACTTTTCGTTTATAAAAAATCATTCCCTTAAGGTTAACTACATTATCAGTGAGTAGCATGGAATATATTTAGTATATAAATAATTAAATAAAAAAGTAAA